GAAGAAGGTTGATTTTAAATTATTTTTGTAATATGAAATTAAAATCAAAAATAATAATAATGATTTTATTTTTTAATTGAATATTGAATTATTAACGTAAATAATTTATTTAAATAATGTATTATTTATTTAAATTTATTTGCTAATATTTTAACTAGTCAGAATAATTATAGATCATTTAATAAAATTTAAGTTTTTTTTTTTTTCTCAGCTTTATTTAAGTTTCAATATAGCCCTTTTAACACCTTTTACACATTCAAAATTAACTAAATTAAATAAAAATACCAACATATATGAATTCCAAGAAAATAATTAATTATTTTATAAGTTTTATTTTATAATTTTTTAATATAAATTTATCTATTTAAATATAATATAAATAAAATCTTATTTTGATTATATTGAGTCGGTTGTAAAATATAAAAAATATAAAAAATATTACCATGTCATGAATATTAAAATTTTTATTTCATTTATCTGAGTAATTATTTAAAATTATTTAAAATTTTATTATTATAAATTTTTGTATAATGATAAAAAAAATATATTTCATAGTTTACACAAAAATTATGAATTTACAAATTTATGCTATATTCTAAATTTATTATGCATTTTATTGTTTCTATATTAAATTTTTGTTTTTAATATGAGTAATTACTTGAAAAAATATTTTTGTTAAATGCATACTTTTAATATTCACCTAGCGCAAAATAAGCTTTTAATTTTAAATTTAAAATTTTTGTTAAATTTAATTAGAAAATTTATTAAATAAACCCATTTCAAATTTATTTTTCAAATTCTTGTAAATTTGTTAATTAATTTTAACTAAATTTCATTCAAAATTCAATGGTAGAGACCTTAAAATTATCTAATATAAATAAATATATCACTTTTTTTGTTTTTTTATAAATCGTTTCCTACTCCCACGTTTTTAATTAAATTCAAATTCTTATGAATTTAAACATTAATTTTTACAGATTAATATTTTTTAACTAAATTTCATTTAAAATTCAATGGTAGACTCTAAAATTATTTAAATACCAAAAAAAAAAACAAATTATTTTCAATACAAATTAATAATATTAAAGAAATCATGAACCAGCGATTCACTTTAAATTTTGTTATTTTAATTTTATTAATTTTATTAGATCTATAATAATTATTTTAACACTATTATTTAAATTTATTAAATTTTAAATTCTAATCTAATTTTATGTAATGAGTACCTTTTTTTTTTTTTTGTAATATATTTTATGTAATGTATGTACATTATTTATAATTATTTGTAAAGAAACAAAAAAAATAACGTATGTAATATTGTATAAAAATATTGTAAAAATATGAATTGAAAAAAAAAAATAAATAAAAGACAGATATATAAATATAATTATATATTTTTGATAATTAAATTGAAGAAAATTAAAAAAAAAAAAATTAAATTAAATAATATTGTAAAAAAATTAATATGAGATGTAAACAAATCTTTAAAATTTAAACTATAAATTACATTTTTTTAATTTAGTCACATATTTCTTTATAATTTTATTAATTTTTATTTTTATTAAAAATCCATAATCAATGAAATGTATATAACATTTTTAACTAAAATTTTTTTTGGCTGCCATTTTCTTTCAAAATTTATTTTTATTATATTTCGTCGGCAAAATTGTGATATTTTTTTTCTATATTAAAATTTATTCTTATTAGAATTTACTTTCTTTTTAGAAAATCTCGAATACTACATTTTTTAAATTTATGAAAATATAAAAATTATTTAAACAAAATGTATTTATTTTTTACCCTTTCATAAATTTAAAAGATGGACTGTTTGAGATTTTCTAAACAGGAAAAGTACTTTTGGAAATATTTGCACTTCATAGTTTTGCTGACGATTTATAATTTTTATTCTGTGGCAATAAAGAGAATCGTTTAACAAAAATTAGTAATTTCAAGTAAATTAAGTTAAAAAATTTACAATTTTCAAATTTACTTTTGAAATACTTTTAAAAATAGTTGAAGAATTGTAACTTATTTTAAATTTCTTGAATGTAAAATTTTTTTATATTAAAAGTCTTGAATGTTGTATTTTTATTTGGTTATCCAATTTTTTGTTTAGCGTTAAAAGCCTGCTATCAGTCTGCCATAATATTTAATTCAATTAAATATTCTTAGGAATGGTATGTCCTTCCAAAAATTTTAATTGATTTTTTCTTAGTTTAAGTATTGTACAATTTAGAAATACTCTTAAATTATTTAAAAAAAAATTTTTTTTTTTTGTTTTTTAATGCAATTTGAATATTAAGAGTTCAAATATGATAATATCCCGATTTTATGGTAGCTTGACTTATTTTATTCTTCTTTATTGCCACAAAATTAATAAAGAGCAAGTTGTAAAATGATTATACAATTATAATTCTAAAATTTTAAATTGTTTATTATTATGTTATAAAATTAAGAAAATAATAAAATTTAAAACAAATCTAATATAAAAGCAAATTTTAATAAAAATAATTAAAATATAAAAAATACAATTTTATATTATTGCGTTACTGTAAAATGAATTTGTTCTAAAATAAAAGCTTTGCATTGGTAAAAAGACAGAAGAAAACTAGTGTGAGAAAAAAGAAATTATAATTTAAAATTAAAAAATAAAATATTAATATTTGCCTAATTAATTTTTACCAATTTATAATTGCCTAATGATGTAAATGCAATTTAATATTCTTTTTTGAAAATTCCTTTCTTTTAATTCCTCTTTTTTTTTAAATTATTAATTATTGTTGAAATAAATTTCCAATTCCTAATTTTTCCAATGTGTAAATAAATTTAATTTTTTTTTTTTGTAAAATTTTTTTGTAATATTCAAAAATTATGTATAAATTTATAATATAAAAAATCATTATAAATAAAATAATACTTAAAATACAATAGAAATTTAACAAAAAAAAAATATATAAAAAATTAAATATTGCAAAAAAATATTTGAAAAAAAAAAAAAAAAAAAACAACTGACTTAAATTTAGTAAATAAGATGTACCTAGAACTCTAGACCTATTTAGAATATATTATTATTATTATAGTAGGGTGTGATAAAAAATTTTGAAAGTATAAAAATTGTATAACACTGAATAAGGAATAAATTTAAATGAAAACAAAAAAAAAAATAAAATACATATTAAAATATAAAATTAAAATTAAAAATACAATAAATAAAATATTTTGTTACAAAAAAAAAAAAAAAAAAGAAATTAAAACAAAAAAAAGTTATGCCTATTCAAAATTTGAATTGAATTATATATATATAAAAAAAAAAAATAAAAGTTAAAATATAATTAAAATAGCGAGCGAGAGAGTAGCGTGTGTGTTATGTTAAGAAAAGTGATTTGATATGGAAGAAAGAAAATTTTAAATAAAAATCCAAAAAAAAAAAAACAAAACAAACAAGAAAGTTTAATTTAAAAAAAAAAATAAGTATATAAAAGATTGTGTTTTAATTAAATTTTTTCTAATTTAAATATTTTAGTTAACAATTTGATATTCGAACCAACGCCATTAGTCGCCATTTATTCATGTTGGTGTTTGCTTAGACGTTTAGATTGCAGGACATTAATTATTTATCTCATCTTTTTACTGGCCAAGTGAAAAGAAAATGAGTGAGTACCATAATGTAATCTTAGTACAATAAAATTTTCAAGTGAAAGGAATTTTTTCGTATTCCGTATCCAAAATCTGTACAATCTTTAGTCATTATTCATTCACTTTGTTTATTGAAGGAGATAAATTCAATCGATATTTTGAGAAAAAAATGAGAAAATTTAGTTGAAAAAATCTGGATTCTTATTGAACAAATGACATATTCAATTAAAAAATTAGAATTCCGATTTGATTGTGAATAAAAACGGTAACTGGAAAGGCGAAATACAGGCCATTTGCCAATTATGAAAAACGTAAACTAAAAAGTGAAGTTTTCCCAATCATATACAATTCTAAATTTTAGAGGACTTCAAGTTGATATTAGAATACTTTTTGCCTTTCAGAGACTTAACATATTTCTGTTCTGTGAAACGAAGAAAATGAAAATACAAAAAAAAAAACTTTAAAATATTTTGTATTAGTAAATTTTTATAGTAAATTTGTATTAATTTTAACATTTTAAAAACTACCTAAAACGTTGTCAATTAAAAACAATTCAAACGTTGTCAAATAGCGTTGTAGTCTGTTTACCGTTTTTACAATTAGTAAATCTTATTAAATTACTTCTACTACTCAATGCTAGGAAGCGCTGTATACCTAAACTATACTTTTTAAAATATAGCAATTTCACTATAAATTTTACATATTGGAATGGAATATGTATAAAAAATTAAATTTGAAATGGGGTAGGTATCGACTAGCTTGTAAAAATGAAAAATAAATTATAATATTGAAAAGTATTAGATAAGTAACTAAAATTATTAAATAACTCCAAACAATAAAAGAGAAATTACTAGACTACAAAACTACAAAAGTATTAAAAAATTTAAACTACAAAATTTTATCATAGTTCCAGCATGATTTTCGGAATAACTCGGATATTCCGAAATTTTCAATTAAATGTGTACTTACAAACTAAATTTTGGACCGTAATAATTTGAAGACCTAAATTGGTATTACCGTTCTTATTTTGTAACTCGTTAGCATAAATAATTTTAATTTTAAAAAATTTAAAAAATTCAAAATCGATCTTCCAAAAATATAGACCCCGAATGCAATTCCAAATTAAAACTGCAACAGGAAATTAATCAATATTTTAATTTTTTTAAGGATAATTTTCTTATTTACTACTAACTTGTAAAATCTACTATAATTGATTGCAATTCGAAATCACTAGTTTCATCATTTGACGTTTATTCAAATTGTTGAATTTTCATTTGTTGTTGTTGGTGTTTTTATAGTAGAAAAAATAATTTTATTTTGTTTTTAATATTTGACCAATCATAATTTTATTTGTCAACGTCTAATCTCGTTCAACTGGTAGAACTATCAAAACAGACATTAAGAAAGTTTAGTGTGAGAGAAAGTGTCATGTTAAAAATTCTATCAACATGACTTCGTGGCATAGAAATATTTTTTATTTTTTTGCGCTAATTTTTAATTTAATTCATTTAATAAAATCACAACAATTTCAACAGCAGGGGCAAGGAATGCATGCTCCAATACAACAGCATCAACCAGATTTTGCATATCAACAGATTCAACAACCTGTACAGGGTGAAGCTCATAGACCATGGTATGAAAGTTTACCAGCTGTAGCAATGGATTATAAAGTTCATATTGATGCCGGAAAAGAAGATTGTTATTTTCAATATGTTCAACCGGGTGCAACATTTTATGTTGCATTCAGTGTAAGTAAATAAATAAATTTTGTTAATTTGAAAAAAAAAAAAAAAAACTCAAAAATTATAAAAATTTAGATTTAAAAATGATAATGAAAAAACAATTATTTTTTAGGTTGTACGAGGTGGTGATGGTATGGCTGGTTTTGCTGTTCGTAATCCAGCTGGACAAATAGTTAAACCATATCAATGGCAACCATCTGCTGATTATACAGATCAAACATCTCCTGGTGGTTATTATTCTGTTTGCATAGATAATCAATTTTCTCGTTTTGCTGGAAAATTAATTAATATTTATATTACTGTTGTTAAATATGATGCATGGGATAAATATGCAAAAGAAATTGAAGAATTACAATTGAATATGCAAAATTTTACTGTAAGAAAATTTTTTTTTTTAATAGAAATTTTTAATATTTTTAAAATGTCATAATTTTAATTATTTTAGCAAGTAATTGGTACAGTAGAAAGAAATATTAATGATATGTTAACATATCAATCGCACAGTAAAAGTCGTGAGGCTAGAGATTATGCTCTTCTAATTGATAATAATTCATACGTACAAAAATTCTCGTTAGCTCAAATTTTTATCATATTAATTACATGTTCTGTTCAAGTAAGTTATTTATAGAACAAACAAACAAACAAGAAAAACAAATACAACTTATAGTCAATTAACAAATGTTCTGTAATCTAATCTTAATCTTAATATTTTTATATCTCATTTCTTTTTTTTTATTTTTTAGGTACTATTTGTTAGAAAACTTTTCGATGTTAAAACAGGTTCCAGTGGTTCGAGAAGTAGAATTTAGAATTATTTAATAAAATATATATATATATATTTTTTTACATTATCTGGACAACAGTGTTAATAACAAATCGGTTAAGAAAAAAAAAAAATAGAACGGAAAATATTAATAAATTGTATTCATTCCTCTATTAAAACTCATTCCTATTTTTAATTCATATTCAGAGTAGATCGTACTTAAAATAAAGATTGTTTAAAATATTTTTGTATACTAAAAATATATATGTATATAGGTATATATTTTTATAAAATAAAAAAATTTATTTTTATATCGTCTCTGTAAGATAAAACAAAAAAAGAAAAAAACAGAAGTTTAAATTAAAATTTTTCTACCAAAACTATGTAATAAATTAATTCTGTCTTTTATTTACTTAGATTTTTTTTTTTATTTCTATTTTAAAATTGCATTATTTCATTGTTACTTATTAAATTGCACTATTAATTGCTTTAATTATGATAATTACTTTGTTGAACTAAAATTGGAAATTGTCTAGATTTTTAAAAACAAATTTTGTAATCTGAAACTGCTATGCAATAAATATTATTTTTGTACTTTTAGTTTAAGATTCCATAAGTTTCAATTTATTTTTTAATACTAATATACTTGCTATTTAAAAACATAATGATCACAATATCTTACTATTTTATGCTTGCATTTAATTAAGTAGTTTGTGTTTAGTGAATTAATTGAAAAATTTTTCGGGATTTTAGAATTTTTTAATGAATTTGGAAACTGATCTAACAAAATAACAGATTAGAAAATATGTAAGAATATTTTACTAATTAGAATATGCTACTTTCACATGAAAACGTGTTAGCTATGATAAATTCAAATTTCCTCATTTAAATTCCTCGTCAAATATTCCTATATTAAATTTTTTTATAAAAATTACTAATTAAATTAGAGTTTTTTTGTTTTATCGCGAAAAATTCATGTGGGCTCCTAACAATACATAATAAAAATAAAAACATAGCTATGTATATAATACAATAATTGCTAACAATTATGTGGGGGGACATGAACCAGTTTAATCTTTGAATCTATTGAAAAGAACTTTAATTTGGAACTTTTTTTTTTCAAATTTTACAAATATTACTTTCAAAATTTTTTTAAGAATAAAATTATTTTTATTTTCTATTATTATTTTTTAATTATTTTCATATTCTCTTGGATTTTAACATGAAATTTTCATTAATTCTCGTACTTAAATTATGTAAATTAAAAAAAGTAAATCTTGATATTATTTTACCATACCGGTTTTATTAAAATTGCCAACAAAATATAATATATGTACATTATATGTCATATTCATTATTCTATGTATGTATATATATTTAAATATGAGTTTGTAGAGCATGCCAACATGAAGTACCTATATAATATTATTATGAAAATGCATTACATTTATGTTCTTACGTATAATTATGTATGTACAAACATTTAATACTTGATTGCATACACATGTAACAAATGCAATTTCAATTGCATTTTGTATTTATGTAGTCATGTTTTGTTTTAGATTTCTTGATGACGGTAAGTGTAATGTAATGCATTTATGTACAATTATCACATATACATTTACGTTATGGTTTCTTAAACTTGAAAACTTTTGGTATTTTTAAGTGTTTTAGTCAGCATTTTAAAAATATTATGAAGAAAAAGGAAAAAGGAAAAATTCTAAATATTTAATTGCTCTCTTTAAAATATTTTTTTTCTGTAAAGCAAAGAGAAAATTTAAAATTTGAATTACAGGAGGTTTGGAGTAATTTGTTGTTTAATCAACATCACTTTGTGTTTTACAGTATAATCTAGATTGTAAGCAATTCATAAATAATAATAGCTCAAATTTATTAAAAGCTAAACCTTTAAGTACTCCATATAAATGGAAATTAATATTTTTTTTTAAATTTTGTATTCTAAATTATCGAGTTTCCCAATAATGCTCGTTAATTTATATTTTAAATGAGTAGGTACATTCAAAAATAGCATTTCTTAACCGTATGAGCATGTAAGATTTAAATAGTATTTAATGCATTCACTGCCTATGTCATGGGTCAACCAAAATTTTTTATTTTATATGAAAGCTAACTGCTAACTTTATCTCATCTAACTAAATATTCATAAAGCATTATTTTTCGAGGAATTCTTGATTTAATAAAATTATTCGATTGTTTTTTTTTTTTAAAAAAGTCGTGTGCCAAAATGAAATAATAAAGTGAGTTCGAGAAGTCATTCCGAAATTATGTTTAATGTAATCGCAAAATTTTTGCTATGATGGCTGAGATGAGTAAGGCTTGCTACTACGAGATAACTCGAAAATGGCAGTGAATTCATTGACATCAAACTTTTTAATAATTTTCTAGAGGAAACTGTTCGATATAATCATATAGTCTGTAAAACACCCTGTCTATACATATACATACATACATAAAAGAGATATTTTTTTTAACAATTTTTTAAAAGCAACTGAGCTTAAAGGTTTTATAGAAAATCAAAAATTTACATACCTACATAATTTTACATTTTCACCTTTTATGAGGAGAAATTTTAATGTAAGCTATAAAAATCCACTTAACAAACAAAGGAAAGTAAATATATACATACATACATATGTATGCATTACAAATTCAGCAAACCAAACCAAAAAAAAATATAAAGAAAAAGCATAGCACGATCACCTGTAAAATCAATAAGACAATGCAATAAAAGTAATTATGCATGTATTAAGTAAGTACATATAACAGTATTAAGCTCTCAGTTTTAAAATAAAAAGAATGTAATGTTAAAAATCTTTGCTCATCTTCTTTATGTTGAGTTTAGTGTTTCTCTCAATTTTCTCTTTTTATACTTTCATTTTCTCCATTTTTAAATGAAAAATTTATGCACAAATGCATTTTTGATATTATAAATAAATGCACAAATAAATAATGTAATCAAACTGAGACACATACATACTTGACATATGTATATGTACGTGAGGTGAGGAGAACGAATATAAAGTCACAATAAAAATATCAAATAATTTTTTACTCATTATGAGTTTTATGGAATTTTCATCGAATATTTATAGATATTGCACATAAATGTAGATATGTAACTTATGGGAGAAAAATTAAGTAGAGTTACAAGATAGTGAATAAAATATTTTTATTATAAGTTAGTAGTTTTACCTACTAAAAAATATTTTTATAATCAAGAAAATAACACTTCCCGTTTGTTGTTGATAAGTGCGATTTCTCGCAAAAAGGGTTCGACTTAATGTAAAAATAGAATCACAGCGGAAAACGAAAATGGTGAATTCATTCCGTTGTTAAACAGAACAATAGTAACAGCGTTTTGCGTATAATGTTACACACACATGTAAACAGATGATGTCAGAAATAAAGTAGGATGTTAGAGTATTTTATCACCATCGGTTGAATTCGGTTCTCTCTGTCCAGTGGACACTCCAATTTTTAATATGTGTACTTTATATGAATTTTGACATTTCGCCTTGGAAAATCGACCTTTCTCTATTTTACGAATATTTAGCTATAAGCTTATTTATTTGAAAAGACATTGAAAAATGACGGACAATGATAAGACGTCAATGTCAAATAAAAGACTCTCTCTTATCTCATTCGATTTTTTTTAAAACAAAATTCTTATTTCTGTATAATTTAAGAAAAAGTGCTAAAAATTTTTTCCAAAGAAAAAAAACGTACGAGTACTTTATTTTTAAACAAATACGAAAACTATAGTTCACTTTAAGAAATATTTTCTCTCATTCTCTTATATTTTCTCTTATTCTAAGCCTTTAAAATTTTATCACTTTCTAAATTTGTCAACATTCCCGGTCATTCACATTCGTCATAACATTTCTAGTTATTTTGATCTAGCATAACATTCCTATTCATTCTGACCTGTCAATCCTCGTATCTTAAGCCTATCACAATGATATTTGTATCGTAACACTCTGTACAATATTGTGACAAAAAAAAAATTAATATATTCAACAGGTAAATATGTGAGGAATAAGTATATGTCGATAGAGTACAGGTAAAATAATAAGAAGAATAAAAACAAAAATAATATGAATACAGGCACACATACAATCAAATTACTTGATACGGTTGATTATCTCTTTATAGAAATAAACTTTTCGATTTTTTCAATTTAAAAAGTTGAATTTTGTTGTTGTTTTTGTTACCTTTATTTTATTTGAAAACCATACAGTAAAAATTTAATATTTTTGTCTCATTATACTCAGTCAGTAATCCTATAGTTCCTCTAGCGGACAGTTCGCGATTTTAATAAATAAAAAAAAAAAATTATCGATATTTTTTTTTTTTATAATATTAACGGATTAAGAAAGGAAAAAAAAAATAATTTTTTTTTCTCAAACTTTTTTTTGGAAAATAAATTTTTTTTATACAAAGAACGAAAAAATTTTAAACTGTTATACAAGGTTCAATTTACAATTTTTTTTTTGATATTTTAAAATTAAATTAATAAAATTTAATTTTATAATTAAAATTTTAATATAAAAAAATTTTTTTGTGAAATTTAACAACAATTGAATTTTATGAAAACAAAAAAAAAAAATTTATTTTATTTGTTATTTTTTTGTATATACATATGTATGTATAACAGTTAGTTAAAATATTATAGTAATACTGTAAGTGCATAAGTACATAACATAATGCATATGTAGATTTATATGTTCTCTCTCATATTACATACAGGCTTTTTTTAACATACAGACGTAAATATTTTGTATAAATAAATAATTATTTTTTTTTTTGTTTTCGTACTTCTTATATATATTTGCATTGTGATGCAGTGAATGTGCATTTAATATGAATTTTATATACAATTTTTGTAATATAATAAGTAGTTGTTTAATAATTTTAACTTATTCCATTCTGTAATATGTTAAAATTATTAAACAATATGTTTATGATATTTCAAAATAAATAAAATAATAATATAATAAAATAAAAAAATAATAATTTTATATTTTTTAATTTGATTTTTTTTTATAATTATAATTAATTAATTAGTTTTATTTTAATTTATTCTTATTAAATTAATAATATTGTGAGTTCCATGGTAAAAAAACAAATTACTTAATTATTATAAAGAAAAAAAATATATTAAATAATTATTATTAATAATTAATTTTTTAATTGGTTTTATTAATAAAATTTGTTTTTGATTAAATTATTAAAATATTCTTAGCCTATAATGTGTTATAACATGCTATTATAAAATTTTTATAATAATAAAATTATAATTATCATAAATATAACAGAATATAAACTTAAATACTGGAGTATAATACGTGCCAAAAATTTAATATAAA